GTTTTTGCACTTCTTCCATTGATTATTTTTTTTCCAAATTTTTTTCTATAATTTCCCCCCCCCCAATTTTTTTATTTGCATGCCCTTTGTTGGCATCCCAGACGTAATTATGCACGTGTGTGTGTGACCCTTACTTTTTAGTACCTTCTCCCAGCTGCAGTAGTGATAATATGAGGTGCTGTAAAAACATTGGAAACTGCAGTATAGTGTGCAGGATGGCTTCTATAGGACCGTCTGCAGTGTCCTTCTAGTTCGGTGTAATAACAGGGGGTTTACAGCAAAATTAAAATGGGTTCAAGGTGACTTTGCATTGGTCACTGCAGCAGTAATCATGTCTTCAGTCCTGTGCCCTGAAAGTTAGAAGGGGATTTCCTAGATGTGCCTGGGCTTGTCCAGGCTTGCCTGCCCTGTCTATCAGAGAGGGGGGGCTGGAAAGGGGTGGAGGGAGACATCTGGAGTTTTGCTCTGTAGTGTTTCCCCAGCTCACTGTGATGGGGACGGATACTGAAGATGCACTGATGAGGTAGCTTTTTCCTATACATTCAAACTCACACGTATGTTAATGCGCCACAGTCTCGGGTTGTTGTCCCTGCAATGAATTTTCATTGAACATCAGTAGCTTCATCTGCTGTAATGCAGCATCAGCCTGCTCAATGATGGACTTTGGCATTTTAACAATGTATCTCTTCCCTTTACTGCATAGTATGAGGTCAGCCGATGTAACACGATGCAGCTGTGCATGGCCGCTGCAAAATGATGCATCGAATTTATGTTTTAGAACAAATGTATGGTCAAGGTTATATTTTCTAGCTTATCGTTGTGGCATAATAAATAAAATAAAATAAAAACACAACCAAACAAAACATTGTATCATTAAAAAGTATCCATATTACACTACACCTATAGAATGACCTCTCATTGCTCCCTCTATGCCCTGTCTGGCCATGAAAGGGTTGAAATGGACGGTTTATGTAAAAGCAATTTTATTCTACTCGAAATAGCATAAGAATCTACGCACAATAAACGTTTGGTTTCAGGATTAAAAAATCGCTTTGCTTTCTTTTCGTATCTTACAGTTTTTTGTGGGGGTGCGGGGGGGTTTAATAGAACATGTAATTTTTTTATACCACATAAATGTTTAAGATGCATATGGCAAAGGCAGACACCGGAGCATAGGGAGAGATTTATAAATGTAAAAATTTGTGAAAAGTTCTAGAATATGAGCCATCACTTTGAAAATGAACTAATGTTTCTGATAATTCGATTTATCACGGTAATTGCACACATCGGCACTTTTTACCAATTTTCTGTTAGTAATACTTTTACTACTCTCCCCCATAATTTATTTAGCTTGCCCAGCTATAGGACCATGGCATGCATATGTCTGTCTGGAATCCTTCCCGTGGAAAGTGAATCACTGACTTAAAAGTTAAGTGATAAGTATGGAAATAATAAAGAAAATGTCAAAACCCTATAAGGTTTATTAACTGAGCACCAAACTTAAAGTAGATGAAAATAGAATTAAAACATTTAAGCATAAACATAGTCATAATGCCACTTACTAAACCGGAAAAAAGGATAATGCATTAGAAACATTTGTGACCTTGGTAGACTAGCCATTTCTTAGATTCTACAAGGCCTGAAACTTGTGAATTAAATACACCGATAATTGTTTGCAATTCCTTATGGTAAAATGCTAATTTTCATTTATTTTTCTCCTCAGCTCTGTACCCCCTTTCCTGCTTGTGTCCCCTCACTTGCCATTGATGCATTGAGCAGCTGAAATTCGAGAGGGCTGTTTGTGATGTAAAGGTAACATGTCAGCCTGATGTGCTTGTTTTCTTGCCTGAGCTGGCAGCCATGGTGGCCGGCTTCCTCAGATGACCTGTTGAAGATCCATGTTTGTGCATGAAAACTCTATGTTTGCGTGAATCTGCGCGTGCATGTCTAAAAATGTATTTCCACTTCACTTTACAATGACAATGGAACACCAGCCAATTATCTGGAATGTTCTGCTAAATTCTGAATATTTGGGGGTAATGCATTGGGTTTGGTGGGTTATATACGTTGTTTCTTGATCCAAGGAGAGAACTGACTGCCATCCTTTACTGCAAAATTGGAAAATACTTCAAAATGTTTTTTTTTTGTCTTTTTTTGGGTCAACAGCAGAAACAGATTTGAGAACGCTGAACTTAACAGACGCAAGTCTTTTATTAGCCTATGTAACTGTGTTAGTCAGCATTACATGAATCAAAAAGTGGGTATTTGCCACATAATTGGTTTCATCTACTAAAAATTCCCCATCTAGTTTCTATAACAATGGACAAAACCACCAAACGTGCGAAACCTTCTCAGTGCCCACATGGAAACAATGTGTGAAGATCATAAAAATATTTTAGTTGTTTTATTTAAGCATTTGTTACATAAAGTAGAAACTCTTAATGCAAACAAACTAAATTAATGCGTTGTAGCATCCTTCACATTTATTTAAATTAGGCCTGTTATCCACAGGTTACGTGCAAAATAAGTACTTCTGGTTAGGCATGCCTGTAGTCCATACATTGTTCTACCGCTATGCTAATAAAATGTATCTTAAAAACATATTAAGCTGAATGCGACTTTTCCTCACCCATTGCGGCTTTAAGAATTGACAGCGTTTGTGTGTGTGTGTAGGCCTTCCATTGCAACCAAATGATGATAATGGTATCTACAATATTGAACTTGCTACGTAAATTCTAGTCTGGAAATGTCAAAGGTGACAGCTTAATGTGGGACCCCCATAGGTTTCTAAGAGCATGCTGACAGCATACCAGTAAAAGCCAGAGAATGTAAACAAAAAAAAAACAAAAAAAAAAGCTATTCGCACGTGAATGTCGTTTGCTTCCAGTATTTGTAGGTTCTTCAAAGAAATATACTGACACCAGGAAGTGGCTGAAATTTCTGAGCAAATTCTGGTTATCCCATTCTTTCGATGGGAGTGCTGTGCAGATATTTATAGGATATGTGGGTTACACAGGGCATATGTTAGATTTCTATTAAAAGATGTGCTGATGAATGTAATTACTGGACATTTTAAAAAGCCACGCAGTGCCCAGTTTTTTTTGTCGGCCACAAAAAAAAATTATTTATATATATATATATATATATATATATATATATATATATATATATATATATATATATATATATATATATATATATATATATATATTATATTTTATAAATATATACAATACACACACCTTGAGACACTTAGAATTGATTTGTATAATTACCTTACCCTATATTTGCAATATAAACCCGCCTCATTAATTTATTCCATTTATTTTACAGATAGGGGATATGCCCTGATTTAGAAGAAGATTCAGAAGAAGCGAAGTGAAAGGTCCATGTTCAGGGGAATGACGATGAGGTCCAGTAGAGGGAAATTGACCACTGCGGAATATTTACAAGAAACTACACACGGATACATGAAACTGATTGCTGAGGTAAAAAAGCCTGTAACTAACAACTGTAATACCAACCAAACTGTTACACAGCTTGAAAGAAAGACACTTCTCTTGAAAGCATACACATCATTAAAGGAGTACTTTAGTGCTAGGAATACAACGTTGTATTCCTAGTACTATAGCTCCTTCTGCCCTCCCTCACACCCCTGCAAAGTACGAGTTTAGAAACACTCTATTCACCAGATTCTGATGTCATCCAATGCACATGCACCACAAGCTGTGCAAGCGCATTAGCCCCTCCCCATAGGAAAGCATTGCTGCAACGCTTCCCAGTGGGGATTTTACCGACACTGGATGTCCTCATGCAGAGTGTGAGGACGTCCAGTGTCAGGCAACCAAAAGTCATTAAGCAAGCAGGAAGTGCCTCTAGTGGCTGTGTGATTGACAGCCACTAGAGGCAGTCTTAACCCTGCAATTTAATTATTGCAGTGCCTCAGAAACAGCAATAATTAACATTGCAGGATTACGGGCACAGGGACATTGCACTAAAGATGAAGTGGTCTGTGTGCCTATAGTGTCCCTTTTAACGTCATGGACTGGCACTGTAAGCGTAGAATTTTCAATGTAATAATTTCCAACTGTGTGTAACATATTTGCTGACACAGTCATGTTTCCTCCTGCTGATACAAGTGCCACATGCATTTGGGAGGTATATAAATATTGCTGCATCTCACAATGTAGCGTTTGTATGCTGTCAGATGAAATCACTGAATCGATTAAGAGATCTTAGACCAACAATTAGTTAATGATGATTATTGTTGTGGGATATCTTTTGTGATTTATTTCTTTAATCGCACACCCTGGGGCAGCACTATTCATGAAACTCCCACTATATTGAAGTAAAGAGTCTGGGAAAATATAGATGCAGTGGCAACCCTATTGCAAAATGACACATTTTTAACTCAAACATTTTATTGTTTTGATATAAAGCAGAGGAGTACGAACGGAGTCAAGGTTATTTTACCGAACACAGTAACAGACATTTGTACTTAGAAAATTAGAAAACACAGAAAAAGAAATAGTAACAAATTAACAAAACAATATTTATACTATAATTATCGTGGCTGGTTCTGGGTAAAATGAATAACAAAAAGAAGTAAAACAATTCGGTTGGGTCAAAGTGGAGGTCTCCCACAAAGAGTTTGTAAAGAAAGAGTTTGCAAATAAGGGCCTTTTGGTGTAAGTCAGGAGACTGTATATAAAAGCTGCCAATATTAAAAAATAAATAAATACATTTTAAAAAAGGAATACTTGTGCGCCTTATACTAAGAGACCTCAGTCCAGTCCAATTAAAATCCATAAACAATTTTTTTTGGCAAAATCAGCTGCCAGAACCATTTGTATAAATCAAGAATGCATTGGGGTAGTTCTAGAAAAAATACCAAATGTGGATAGCTTTGGGGACAGTGGTACCAAAAAGTGTAAGAAGTCCAAGAAGCAGTGAAACAAAAAATCCCCTCCTCCCCTCATTTAAACCATTTAGAGGAGTCCATTTAATTCAGTTGGTATTGGGTGTCAGGTGGTAAATAGGCATATAGTGCTATCCATTGATACATCTCTTGGTATAAAGGGTTTAGAAGGAGCTGTGGAAAGGGAAGGGAGTTATGAGCATTTGTGAATAGGACAGATTGCTATAGAATGGTCTAACACTATTCGAATACAAATCATAGAATAACCTGATGGAATATTGGGCTTGAGAAGAGTTCCAAAAATATAGTCTCGTGAGTGAGTTCAGTCCTGCAGATGGGTTTAAATCTTGTGAATAAAGTTTAGAATTTGAAAATAACCGAAAGGGGAATTTGAAGTGAGGGGAACTTGTCCTGTAGTTGTGAGATAGTTGGGATTTTATGAAGGTGAGGGTCTAAACAATTCCCGACGGTGGATAGGGAGCTCTTGTGCTAGGATTTAAGACGTTGAGCAGGCAAGTTATTATGAAAATAAGGACGAGAAAGGAGTGTGAGGAACCTTGAATCCTGCCACTGAAGTTGGACTTCTGCTTTTAGAAGTGGTCTTGGTGGTAGGGGTCTGTAGAACTTTAAATGCTGTTCATACAGAATTATCTGCACTTTTGCAATAATGATGTCTGTCGTCAGCATGCACTGTGTAACAGTGTCCCCTCCCTCAGCCCTCCTCCTCCATCTCCCTCTGTTTTCAACATTGCCATTTTTTATATACTTGATGTCCTCCCTCTCCTCACTGGCCCAGAGCATGCGCATGTACTCTGAGCAAGTGAAACGGTCTAATCAAATTCTTCTCTATGAGAAAAATTTGATTGGACCGCTGATGATAGACATAGCACGGAAACTAAGAGAGGTCCTCATCTGACACGGTGTACAAGGTCAGTTTTAATCTATTTAGTAGTTTGTTTTTTTTAATTACAAAAGGGGTGGACAAGACTGGTTGTGCCCAATATTTATTTATTTATTTATAAAATATTTTACCAGGAAAGATACATTGAGATTTCTCTCGTTTTCAAGTATGTCCTGGGTCCACAAATCATTGCATTGTTACATTAGGTACAACAAAATACAAAAACAATATTAATACACAATATATACAAAATTTAACATAGAACAGGCAGGAAATATATAATCAACCATGACACGTGCATTCTGTTTTGAGGTATGTAGAGAGGGATCTCTTAAAAGACTTTAGGCTTAGGGAAGATTTTAAATTGTGCGGGAGGTCGTTCCACAATTGCGGCGCTCTGTAGGAGAAGGAGGATCGGGCCGCTTTCTTTTTGTATTGAGGTAGACTAAGTAAAGTGCTTGTACTGGATCGGAGGTTATAGAAAGTGGGAACAGCTGGGGAAAGCATTTTGTTCAGGTAGGGTGTGAGTTTACCAGATAAGGTTCAGTGTGTGGGTGGGCAGTGTGTAAATGTGTATGGTGTGTGTGTGTGGGGGCAGTGTGTGAATGTGTATGGTGTGTGTGTGTAATAGGGAATAATAATGCTGTAAAATTTCAGAAATTGTTAAGGAAAGGGTTCTAGTATCCTGTTAATGGTAGAGAAGGATAAATAATTAGGTTTAACACTCTCTGGCAATTGGAGAGATAATTTAGGCACAAATTAGGGTGTGTCTGGGCACACCTGGTACATTGATTGTGCTTGCCTATAACTGAGGCAGCCCTTTTCATGTAACGCCCAAAATCATGTTGGTCTTTTAGGACAATGGGAAAACATGAAGGAGGTAGCAAAACTAATGGGTAATTATACATATATATATATATATTATTTTAAAGGGACATTTAAGGTACCAAAACCACTACTGTGTGCTTTCCGCCTGAAATAACTGGAGAGTGTCATTTGACAGCTGTCAGCCAATTAATATTGTTTGGAACCTGGTATAAGTTTGTATGATATTGCAGAAGAATCAATTTCATGTTTATGAGACCAACTCAGACTGTATTTGTACATGGTTTGACAGATTACCAGCACAGGGCATTCGGGGTCTTCTGGCACCATAACATCTATGGTGCCTAGCGTGTCCTTTTAAAGGTTTACTGAAATGAAAATACTGTGTTTTAAGAAAACACTGTTTTTAGTGAGAGTTACCCTTCTTATCCTGTGCCCACCCCCCCAAAAAAAAAACTGCAAAAAAATAAAACACTTGCCTCTGTTCCAGCCGTAAGTTTTTCCTCAGTCCGAACCCACTGCCCTTATCAGATACCAGGTGCGGCAGACCGAGGTCAGAACTTGGTGCTGCTATTCACTCTGTCACCAGCAAGCTGTGCGTGCAGACGATAGATGCCAAACATGCACAAATCGGACATTATCCTGCCCGGAACATTGTTACAGGCTTGCTAATGACACCACAATGATGATGTTACGCCATTCGGACCATCTAGTCTGCCCAAATTTCTAAGTCTAGGATAACCTTATGCCTATCTCACGCATGCTTAAACTCCTTCACTGTGTTAACCTCTACCACTTCAGCTGGAAGGCTATTCCATGCATCCACTACCCTCTTAGTAAAGTAATACTTCCTGATATTATTTTTTTAAACCTTTGCCCCTCTAATTTAAGACTGTCCTCTTGTTGGGGTAGTTTTTCTTCTTTGAAATATAGTCTCCACCTTTACTGTGTTGATTCCCTTTATGTATTTAAATGTTTCTATCATATCCCCCCTGTCTCATCTTTCCTCCAAGCTATACATGTTAAGGTCCTTTAACCTTTCCTGGTAAGTTTTATCCTGTAGCATCCAGCAGCAGAGGGGTTATTATCGATATATACCATTTCATAGCGAAAACGCAGAGGTGGAAATACATCTCCAGCAGCAAAGGGGTTAATATCGGTATACGAACCATTTCATAGCAAAACACTGCGCATACAGACTCCAAGCACTGTTATGTCATTCAGGTCTACATTATGTATAGTTTACATACCGTACACTTGTGATCTCATGTGTAGATCCTATGTGTGTTTTAATTAGTATTGCCAGATACTCTGTATTTTCCAGGACAAATCACTTCTTTGTGTTTACAGGAAGCACAGGAAAAGTGCTGCCCTGCAGTATGTATGGTTAATTTGCTGCCGGATTCCTCCATGTGAAATGACTTGATTTTTTTTCCGCAACACTCTGAATTCTAGATACCTCAGGACAGCACTCTTCCTGCGATGCCCATCTACATGTCATCACGGTATGTGCCCAGGATAAACATTGTCAATATAGCTATCGTAGACCCGTTTTCACCGGAGCCAGACAAATTGACCTCTTTTCACATCTCTGCAGAATAGCTCACTACTTCCTAAAGAAACACACAAATCGCACCATTTATACAGTCATTTCATATATTATATAAACAAGCCAGTGCTTCAGAAGGGTTAAGTTCAGGTGATTTAATCTGACTCTTGAGTTGCCAGACAGGAAACCGGTACCTATGTTGACACGACACACACCCTATCTGTACTAAGACAGTGCAAAGCTTCCTCATACCTCTGTGTTTGTGCCTTACGATGAGGTAAACTTCTAATGCCTGCGAGTGAGGTAACCTCCTTAAATTATCCACTGGGTGAGGGTGTCATGTGACAGCCCACGAATCTGGCTCTGATTATCCTCCTCTTTAAGTTTGTGCAGTGCGTTTTCCTCTTTACCCCCACCCTACTGGCATTTACCCACCCCAATATAGTTAGTTAAATACCAGCTTTAGTTCAGTATATCCAATGTTATCTGTTCCCCTGGCTTTACCTTAGATGACCACATTACCGGTACATTTCTTTTTTTTCGGTTCCGCTCATGTTCTCGGTTTACGACAGATCTGTGTGCTGTATTTTCTGATATGATACAATTTTAACTTCTGCCTTGCCTTTTGAAAAATCCCCACTCTCTTTTTTTTTCTTTTTGCTATCAATCTGTACAAAATATATGCATTATTTCTTCAACCTAACCTTCGACTTTCACTCTCGCAGGATATCTACAGGCAAACTCAATATTATGTCTAAGATTGGCACCTCTTTTTTATGTTTCTTAGGAACATATCTACTTATGTCTAATGATGGGCAGCACCAGAAAAGTGATAATTATAAAATTTATTTATTTATTTATTCATTCATGCTGCCACTCTATAGATACACCATTCAAATGCTGCAGGTACAAAACAAGTCCTTGATCATTGCTGAATTCTACAGCTTATGGATTCTATATACTTAGTGGGAGCACTTTTCATTCTCTGCCTGTCAGCATGAAGTAGTGACTGTCCAGGAAAAACATGAGGAATTTGTCGCCTCTAATTATATCCGTCACATTTTAGCACATGGGCTATTGCTTGCAATAATTCTCTGGGTTTTCTTTATATTTTCAACTTGTATTTTCTGTGCCTGGTATGCAATACCTTTTCTTGGAAATAGAGTAGACAATAAAAACAAAAAAAAAAAAAAATCAGAAAAAAAAGGTCATAGGTCCAAGTGAAGTTAAGAGGCACTTAGAGCAGGGCAGCACAGGAATGTTTATTACACTGCAATTCTCACCTGACGCCTACCTGTTTGTTAGTTCTTTTGCTGTCAGGGTATCTCCCTGCACCTGCTGATAAGCTCTCTGTCTGTTTTTTTTCGGTTGTTCCCTGACTCACTCGCTCAGTTCATTTTATATTCTTGTCCACCTGTGGGTGTAAACGCTTGTCCTCAGGTGTGGCTAATTCTAAGTGACTGTGACATACGTGTATAGATATGTAGACTAAGGTTATATATACTCTCGCGGCTGATGACAGTTTCCAATCTTGTTTAATGACGGGCTGAGCAGATCATCTGGGTGGAAGGTCTTGAAGATCCAGGTAAGCTACTGTATGTGATATATTTGTATCTGTGGATATTTATACATGTCTATCAATCTACCACTCTGTATGAATGTGTACATAGGCTCTGGTACATATGATATATTGGCACAAAACGTATTATATTTAAATATTATATAACATATTTGCATCCAGAAGATGTAATCCTTCAGTCTTTCCATCCATAGTTGATACTAAGGAATTCCATTTTGGCTAGGATTATTTGAGAGATATCTACATTTTATATGTATTGGTATATATAGTTAAAGGGAAGTAAATCTAAAATTCATGTAAGATTATTCATATGATGTTGTTGTTGTTGTTTTTTTGTTTTTTCACAATGAAATTGTTCTTCCCTTATTTATTTTTTTGTTTGTTTAATGATTGCTTGTAGCAATTAATTAAATATTTACTAACATTTCCCTAGCCCTACTCTTTAATCATATTCCTATAGGTCCTATCTATATGTTTGTTTATTCGTTATGTACAGGGTTATATGATAACCTCTAAATTGTAGCAAATAGAGGTCCAAATGGTGGGAAATATTTAATTGTGGAAACATTCTCCAATTTAGCTACAATCACAGCTTTGCTTCTTTGGCTGCACATTTGGTTTAATTCTCTATTAATTACCAAATAACCCTGAAAATAGGTTGACTGACTGTGGAACCAGCAATTACACCACAATCTGAGTTTTGAAATATTTCAAATACTTTACCTTTATACCTGTGGCCATGTATCCGCTGATCAGTGAGTTGCTGTGAGATGACAACCCAAAAATGAGGTCAAAGTAGTTGAGAAGAACATTTTTGGTGTACATTTTCTAAATAGTAATCGGCTAACTTCAGCCTGCAGTTCCACTGTTGAAGACTTACTAATGAAATGTTGTCTTTAAAATATCAAGCCTCATTGAACACAATCAACATTTAGTTTTTTCAGTTACCTTGCCTTTCTTAGTTCACGGCATCATGACAGCACTCAGAATACTTATAACGTCTTTCAGGACACTGAATTTGGATTTATCCCTAAATCCCAATGGATTGTGAACATGCCTAAATCTAACCTCTATCCCAAAACTAACCTCTGTGGACCCTGGAGATTCTATGGACTGTAACCTCCATTGTAATTAGGCAAACTCTGTCTGGCTGAGGATGAGTAGATTTACAGTTCACAGCATCTTCAGTTCAGAATGCAATCTCTGACCTTTTTATTATTAATAGCATTTAAATAGTGCTGTATTATCACGGTGATCTAATTACACTCCCTTACAAAGCTGATATTTTAGATACGTCAAAATGGCACATAAAATCTTGACATAAGGTTTTCCATAATATAATGCTATTTAATGGATAAGCCCCTTTACCCCCACTCTGCAGAGTATTTCCTACTTATTCTACTATTTCCCATTTCATCTCACATTTCTCATGATTATTGACATAATTGTAAAAGATGCACAACTAAGATAGCATACAGCAAATGACTGAAAAATATTATTCTGTTTAATTAGACGATTTATTTTAAACAATTTTATGAACCCTAATCAGTATTCGCATATGTTGTGTACTTTCAGTCTTTCAAATAAGTGTCTTGACAAATTTCCTGTTCATTTTAGTACAATATGTTGGCTTTTTGCTGCCACATGTATACTCCAAGCACCACAACAATTTCAGTTATTTCCATACTTACCAACTGTCCTGAAACCAACTTAACAGTCCTGATTTTGTTCCATCATCCCCGTAAAGCACAATGTGATCACATTATTAAATGTGCTGTGTAAGGTTTTTTTAGGGAACTTACACCAATATCAGAGTGTTTTATCAGACTTTTTTTGCGTGGGTTGCCTTGCACAAAGTTTCACATCTTCATTATCAGTCAAAGTGTTTGTACACTTGCTCATCTCTTGCTTTGAGAGGCTGTATGCACTGTGGTATAGTGCTTAGAGAATCTAATCGCACAGCAAAAACATGTAATGTGTTCTCATTCTGTAAAAACCAGAAGGGCCTCAATTCAATATTTTTTTTTTTAAGTCGTTTTTCAAATGATTGAATATTTCAAAAAATATTTTAATGTTTTGATATTTTTTTTTATAGGATATATTTTGTGCAATTTAACATTTTAAAATTTTTTTTAATTGTTTATCCAAAAATATTAAATTGAGGCCCAGAGGTTGGATAATGTAGAAGTTAAACATTCTAATTATGACCTCACATACTGAGGGGATAGTTTTTGGGTAGAAGGGAATCCTTCAGATTATGTCAAATAAAAATATAAAGTACCATGACCACTACTGTAAGCCAATAAGTGTAAGAGGGTGATTCCAAGCATCGTAACTAGTACAGTGGGCCAAACAGTTTAGCAATGGTTCTTCACTAGGCTCTGATGTTTGCTGGCGTTCTGGTTGCAATGCCACAGAAACCACAGGCGTTACAATTCATTGGCTAAGCGCATTAGCCAGCGACTGACAGTCCTCAAAGCGAAATTGCTGCATATAGAGACTTCAGACACCATGACAACATCAAAGGGTGCGGTCATTAGTGATCACTGCAGTGGGCATAGTGTGGTTTCGTTTAGCGAGGAAGGATTTGGGTAGATTTCTGCTGAGTTAAATTGCCTACATACAAGCAAGTCGTGCCAGTACAGGCATCTCTAAATAATTCACAAATTGAAAGAGCACAGGGCACGTAATTTATTGACATGGCAGTTTTATTATGCCACCTTTATTCTATACGACATTACAACGTGATTAGATTGACCTAATTACATAACATTTAATTTATAGTAACAACAGAAGATTATCAGGAATGGTGGATTCAAATCTATCAATCAGACTAAATTGCCTTAGGAACCTGAGTCTTTCATATGTAGTTTTATATATAGTTTAGAGATTAAATGTAGCCTTTACACAAAACTGTCAGAAAATAAACCATCCTATATTATTAGATAAGTTAAACTGTTTTGCTACCTTGATTATTTTGCAATATTAAATGGCAAACCAGCTTGTCTGGCTAGTACATCCGTAACCCCTCTCCCCCCGGAAAAAGATTGCTGATCATTTGTGCAGTGGTAAACACCTGGAATGGAGATGTATAGAATAAAAAAAAAAAAAAAACGAATTGCAAAATATAGTTCTAAAATAACCAGTTAGAGAATTTTTCAAAATCAGCTGGTTTTGCCAAATGTTGCAGTTTTTTTTATTTACTACAGCTTCGGTTTCATTGAATAAACTATCGCATTTTATGAATATTTTTTATAATATTGGATTGGACTCTGTTAACTTTTGCTGTTCAACATTTCCTCATTTTAAACTATTGTGTTCAGTATAATAGCTTTATCACCATGTCAAAATCCCGTTGACAGAAGTTCATATTGTTCTCGAACGCGGTTATTATTTAAATAAGGAACAAGTTAAAAATATCTTTTCAGAAACATGTTAAGACAAGTTTCCTACTACGTCTCAGCTGACGAACTGCAGTAGAAGTAACTTTCATTTGTGTTTGGCAACATTAAGAGTGATGTAGTTCGTTCTATTGCTCAAATCCAACCAATCTATACAGTCACTAGATATGAGTGTAGGAGAGATTAAGTCAGCATTCTCATACAAACTGCAGGGCTTAGCAGAAGGAGATCTCCGATCAATGCACAGAATCAAAGATCAGCAGCCTGTCCGTGAATTCCTCCTATCAATCAATATAACCAGCAATTTGATGAGTCGTTCAAGTAAGTGCAGTAGTAACTCTTTAAAGGTTAAAGAGGTACCCAGATTTTTTTTTAAATTACTTGTAACCCATTTTACTGCACACTACACTGAACAAAGTATTTGACTGCAAAACAAGCTGAGCTACAAAGAAATAAACGGTACTGATGTTTTTACTCAATGCATATTTCTATCACTCAGCGGTTTATTTGTGAAACGACAAAATGTGGTAAACCGAAACCCGATTTTGCAGAATTTACCCTAAAAACTGCTGTAACTATATCTAAAGTATAGTAAAAATAAAAATTTGCTGTTATGGCCTAAATTTTGCCATTCTGATAGGAATTTGCTACAATTCGTAGTTTAGAGCATAGCCCTGTTAATAAGTGAATTGTTGAATATTCGTTAAAGGACATCTATTATACTGTATAGCTGTGTTTATATGTCTACTGGCATCAAGTCTAGTTATTTTTGTAATATATCTACTGTAACACTTTTGATGAGTGTTTGTTCAAACTACATACACAACTTATGTATTGCAAAACAGTTTTGTTGCTTTTTTTTGACAATCTTTTTTTTTTTTTTTTTTTTTTACACCAAAACATGATATAAGTACAAGTAACGGAGTGTCCGTTTGGACGATTTTGTATACAATTTCAGACTGCATTGCGTGCAACTGTTAAAGTGTGTTTAAATTAACATAAGGTCATAAATGGAAGAATACAATGTAACTGCTCCAACATAGCTAGAACCAAGGTCTGAACGTACAACGGATAGCGTACGTGTTTACCAAATAATTTACTTGACCATGATTGAGGGAACTTAAACCCATTGAAATTTGGTCATGATTTTTTTTTAATAGTATTTTCATTGTGCATGTTTTTTTTTTTGTTTGGTTTTTTTACATTTTTTTTAGTTCTTTTTTCTAACAAAATGTTACTTATTTTTTACTCTTGCATTTATTTTTACTTGGTTTTTTTTAACCTTGCAAGTTTATTATACGTATAAGTGTTCTAATAATTATAACCTTATATATTATAAAGTTACAGTCCTCTGTATTTCTCCCTTATAGGTTAGTGCTCGTCCAGAATGACCGCAACTGGACAATTGTTGTTTATCAGTATCACTTAGTTTCCAATTACTGCGTTACGTCTCGGAGGTGGTGAAGGTTAATTCTCTTGGGATTTGCAGAATGTTTTGTACAGGGAAGAAGAAGGGTCTGAAGCATCTCTCTGAGGTAGGTGTCATTTTATACACGCCTATGACATAATAAAGGAAATTTTGACTCCCCGACAATATAGTACACAGTTTAGTGAGTAACCATGTATTCTATAAAATACTCTCATGTGATGAAGCCGTACATTAACTGTATGTAAAGCTCTGCAGTGTTTAGGGTGTGTTGTTTATACCTTTCTCAGCCCATCAATTTATAGCCTGATAGGCTGGAATACATTTTTGTGACTCTATATTTGGTGTGTGGCATACTTGTTCTTTGAAAAGCATCATTAGTGTACACTAACATGCAATAAAGGGAGGGTTGTGTCTAGAACATTATTAGAAACATAATTGTAAATAACATGCGCGCCAAACCCACTTATTATAAAACGCCCTTGATTTCAAAGCTTCTGCCTCCTTGTTAATTTTTCTAGTTGTCACAAGGAGGAGTGATCATGGACCAAATAAACTCCAATTTCTCCAATTAGTAAGAACTGGCAATGCAGAATCTGTAGTTAAATTGAACTGTCACTTCTCAGGAATTTTAATATTATGTTTACTTCCATATTTAACAAATATGTATTTGTACGGTGTTTTTATAAGTTATATGTGATTTTCAATCTTTTCTTCCATGGTTTAAATGGACACTATAGTCACCTGAACAACTTTAGCTTAATTTCCAGACAATTAATTGTTCCTCGTTAAGTTATACCTGTTGATCAAAACAAGGATCCAGGGCTCTCATTAAAGGAACACTATGGCATTCAGAATACAAATCTGTATTCTTAACGTTCTAGTCCCTAATTCGAAATTGCACCCCCGTTGTGCAATTAAAATGAATGAATAAAGGTGAAACTTACCTTTTTATTCTGGTGCTGCTGCCTGCTCTGCTTACTGCGACATCATTGTGGAGGTGTTGCATACTCAGCATTTATCCAATGCGAGTGCTGTGCATCCAGTGAAATTCTTCTCATAGGAAAGCATTGAATTCAATACTTTCATATGAGCTACATTTGATGATGCCTGACATCTTCATGGAGGTTGACTGTCACATGACCAGGCTTTACTGCACAAGAAGTGCCTCCTAGTGGCTGCCAGTAGGTATGTTTCACCCTACAATGGAAACATTAATTGCAGGGTTAAAACTACATTGCCACTGCAGACAGACCACTTCATTGAGATACAATGGTCTGGGATCACTTAGTGTTGCTTTAAGTTAGGACTGTGGCACATTGAAAAGAAAATTCCAGGATAATTTTTTTTTTTAAATAGTTTTGCTTAAATGTTAATATTACCTTGTTTTTCACAGTTCAGGTTTAGTGCATGAATCCTGATACATAATACTTGTATAATTTCCTGTGGAAGTGGCCATGAATTACCTGGTATGAGCTAAGATTTCACAGGGAGCATATGTGAATTATATCCCAGAATAGTGTTTATGCAAACATGGGGGCTTATATCTGCCACGTGTAACGTACGCTATTAAATTGGGCAGATTTGATTAATGTAGTTGAATTTAAAGATTTAGAAAATATATAACTCTGTACGTAACTATGGAAAGTAACTCTGTATCTTGGTTTTTACCGTTCCAGGTAAAATTAAATATAGAAATACACACGTGTTTATTCTGCAACTGGGCACCTCCATCTTAACTCTCTGTCAGCCATTGTTATGAGCTCTGTCCTTTTAACAATGTTTCTCTATCACCTCTTCATTTGCGATGTTCACCTTTACTTTGCATTGTCTGAACTGGAGAATGACATAATTTGCAAAAAATTTTAATATGAATTTAATACAAAATAAAGCATCACATTAAAAAGGTGAACACAAGTTATGTCTAATTTTCAATGTTTTATTCTAAGGTGTAATTTTAAAGACGTGACCGTTTACCTGTAGCTGACAAAAGCTGTATCATAGACAGTAACACAAATGGCGCCATCACTCCATAAAAGGATCTGTAGCGCAAATCGCCCAATGAGAGTGTCTGAGACTTATCTTCCAATGTAGACAGCTCTTCTCCGAAGAAGACCTTCAGTTAACCGTAAAAGCTTGAACATATGGTTACTAAAGATATTTATGGTTATTTGTGCTTTTTAGTAGTATATTTTATCTTTGAATTGCCAATTCCACCACTTGTTCTAATTATCTCATACTTTATATTGCATCAAAGAACCGCAGTGATTTAGAAGAGATACATTTTATGCATTCCTCATTGTTTTTGATTTTCCTTAGGAAATATGACTGGACGGTGATCTCTCATTAACGGTCTTGCCTTGCAACCCACAAGTAAATATGAATCACATCCTGGTTGCCAGATGGGGATGGAAGGTACTCTGTATTTATTCCCTTTCAGAAGCAGCTTGTTGGATGAGGAGAAACGAAAAAAGGAAAATGTACGTGCTGTCTGTGAGTGTTTCTTTGGCAGTGTCTTAGCTGGTTGTTGTGACGCATCATAGAAGTAGCAATCAGCAAATATACTGCCCTAGAAGTTCTGCACATTGTTAGGCTCAGAAAATGCTCTAGAATGTGGACTTCAGAAGAGAAGACCTGTCCAGGAAGAATAAAACGCTAACGGAACGAATTGGAGCTCCGCTACTGTAACTATACCTGCATTTTATATAAACAAAGCAATTGGTGATATTTATGATTAATAATACTAAAGAGTATGTCTTGACATGTTCGAAAACTATGTGTTATATTTCCTGTAACTTTAAATACAAAGATTGGGATTACATTTAGAAGTTAAACATTTGGTATTTACAAGGCAATTGTCACCTAACAGATAATGTATATTATGAGCTGATTTGAGTAAATTTGGGTTAATATTAATTCTAAATATGACATATATATAAAATGATTTCTACCTTCCCCCACCATCATTTTTCGATCTTTTTATTGAGTTTTTAAAAGAGTACTGTTGAGACCCAGAGGAGTGTGCCTGCTACCTGCACAGACCCACACGAGACTATACGAGTGACGTCTCACACTCTGTGTGTTATAAGAGTGCATGCACTGGATCTGTAGTAAACTCTTTGGTTTGTTTAAAAATGAAAGCCTACTTACTTCAATAAGCACATAAGTACACTGCTGAATTTACTGCTCTATTAATGGATTAATTTTTTTTTCTTTAAATAAATTATAGGTGTAGTTTGATTGACAACCTAATTTAATGAATAGTTGCACTGCCTGCTGCATATGTCGTTGAAAATTTCTCCCATAGAAAAAAATGAATGGACTCCCTTCTGCACTCTAATATTCTAGTTTTGTCTTTGTTTTATCCTTTTTGTTATTGATTTGGTTGCTGTTATTGCTGATGGTTCATTCCTGCCTGGAATAGTTACTTTAAAAGGTTGACATGTGCACTTGGATACCAATGGCGGACATCATGGCACGCGCGCAATCTTTGTAACAGATGAGGGAAATGATACTTTGTATCTCACTGGAAAAAGGTCAACGTATGGATTTGCCAAAGGTGGACATTTCATTGCTATGGTTACTCCCATCCTAAAGCCACTTTAAAAAGTTTGCCCACGAAAGCCCGTACTGTCGTTCTAGCTCCTTTCAAATGACGTGCCATTACAGCACTGGAAATATGGGTTGTAATTCATGCAAAGGTAAAATCACCTCATAATGCCCCAGCTTCCCTAAGGCTAGCCAAATGATTTCAAATGTTGTCAGTGTGAGCAGTGCTGTAACGTCACTGTGCTGTTAATGCAACACCATTCCAGCATTGTTCAAACCATGCTTTGCATTCAAATGAATAATTAATATCCTAAAATGCAGAATTCATGATACTGTGTGGTACAATGTGCCTTTTTAAAAAAAAGTTTTGTCTATTATATTTAAACAGGCAAAACACAAGGTAACGTTTTTTTTTGTTTTGTTGTTGTTTTTTTTATTTTTATTTTTTTATTTATATGACAGGATAGTACGGAAGCCCAGAGAGGCCATGTTAAATACAAATATGATATAGATACAAAGGAGCAGAGACCTGTTTACACTTTTATGATGTCTCAAACTGCTTATATCCTAATGCTGTCACTGAAATGTATGTATTAATTAAAAATAAAACCATGATTTTATTATGCCATGGTCTTATTGTAGTTAAATTTTGGAGAACTTTCTTTGTTTGATGGGTAAAGATGAAGGGGCACAAAATTCTGATTCTGTAGCGTACACCTTGGTCTTGCTCCATTCGTTGCAATTCCTTTGCATACTAATCATCGGTGTATCCGGCACCTTACACTAGAGCAGGGATAGGCAACTCCATTCTACATCTCCTATAATGCTCTTTCAGCCATAATTCTGGCAAAGCATCAAGGTTGCCTACTCCAATACTAATGTATAAAAATTACCATCTATACTTTACTTATGAAATATAAATTAAAGCCAAACTTTCACTTTCTGGGGATGACATTGCCGCTGGTGGTCTGGTGGCAGAGGTGGGGGGGAGCTGGGACAGTTGAATTTTGTCTCTTCCAGCTGATCCTCTTCTGCTCCTGCCATTTCGGGAAAGTACAGCATTGAGGTCCTGTAAAATTGAGGGATCCTCTATAGGTAAAGCCAATTACCTGTAACCACTAAGGTGCAAAATACTTCTTTTACAATGGTAATAACTAGTTGTATAAAGAGATAGTTATGTTTTTTTTCACATCACAAATTAACCCAAACTTTTACCAAAACAGGGGAACAGGGAAGACAATTTGACACTGCATTAAGAGTGGCAAGACATAGCCAGTACACCCCTTGTGCATGCCTATGGTACTAATATATATTGGACATATACCCACTTGATCTGTTTTTATTCTGAAGCGTACTTATACTTAATTTTACAATTATTAGTGTTTAAATTTTGCATACAACACGTACAACTGCTTGTCTCATACAGTTCGCTGTTTATTGTCGTTCTTCCCATTTCAGTCAGTTGATGTTTTTAGTCCGATTATTATTACTGTGTGTGTGTGTGTGCGTGGGTTTTGTATGAGTTATCAATTGCTGATTTTCTGCAAGTCACCTTATTAATTAAAATTTACCTCCGGTTTGTCTTGTGTGATATTCACCAAATTTTGCCAGTAGGTGGAATAGTTGGATTTTAGTAGTACCATTTTATTTTTTTAATAATGTTTTAGGTCAAGTGACCGCAGTACACAGTAAAACATAAATGTAAAGTTCTAATCGCAGTACATGTTGTATCGCTGACTACATACACAATTCACATAAGAGAGTAACGATGATAGGATAACGTAGAAAATTATAGTATTACAAGAAATTAATCCCACTTGCATGTATAGAGATTTAAAAAGTCAGTGTAAGGTATTCAGTTAAGTGGTTGGCTCTAAGGTAGTTAGTAGAGAGGGACGCCATTTCTTGTCTGGTTAAGTTGGGCCATCAAGCATAACTCTTCAAGTAAAATTTGAGAATTAGACAGTGTGAGGGAAGACGTGTTTAGTGTTTGTATTTTTGAATGGGATTTAGGAAAAAAGCTGACACTTAAAGGGAGTGTATCTGTCTGTCTATACTTATAACATTATTAGCGCTGTACAAATCATGACTCTGTTAATTATCGTTTATTGTTTTTTTTTTTACTTGTTTATTGAAAATTGAAGATTTTCACCATCCATGGCTCATTGGGGAATACTGACACAGCAATTAGGGAAGCGAGTCATCTTGTATCTCCAACCAACAAACACAATCCCCTTTATAGATTTTAAAGAGTCAAGGTTTTGTGGGATTACTCATTATACCGCAGCATTGAAGTTTAATCTGTATCCCTTTCCTGGTAACGGAGGTTGAAGAGGTCATAAAAATAGTTGCATTGTTTGGCACATATTTTACCAATAGTCATATTAGGGTGATATAGGATAATTGTCAGTCACATGACACACAAAATATGTTACAGGTATTACACAACATTTAATAGCTAACCACCCACAGTCATGTATTTATGATTTCTAATGCTCGAGGCCTGACTAACGATGGTCACGCACCCCTCCCCATATTAATACTGACCTCTCTCACTACCCACACATTTTTACCTCAATTTTATGAACTCTGATTTTTTTTAAATTTGCTTTTGACTTCCATCAATTGAAATGGATTACACTACTCCCTCTACAGCCAGTAACTTAACGTATTGTGTCCCTGTTGTCAGGATGTGATATACCCTAACATCAAAACCCGCAAAGGTAGTTATAAAAGATTGGGCATATTACCAGTCCTTAAGATTAGCCAGACTTAATGGAATATAGAAAATAAATAGCTAAAACATAAGACGAGCCAAGGTCAGGATAACAGAGGTATAGAAAATCAATAATACTAGCCAAGGTCAGGATAACAGAGGTATACGTTTTTAGGACAAGCCGGGCCAGAAAAACACACAAACAGGAATGAGATAAGTGGGAATTAAAGGTAACTACAACACAGCAATTAACTGATTGTGGAGGAGGCTTAAATAGTGACTGGAAGAAGCATATTGGCCAATGTCATAATTGTGATGACAATATACAAGTACAGAGTCACAAGGTTGACCATTGAGGCACCATCGGCATGATAAAATGATGCAAATTTGCAGCGTAGAGTGTCAAAAATGACGCTTGAGTGTGCGGTGGTTGCAAAATGATGCAGGAGAGGCGCACGTGTACAGGACCGGTGCAAGGATTTTTGGCTACACAAGCAAAGATGCATTTTGACGCCCACCCTCTTTAAAAAAATGTGTCTTCACTTGTGTGTCTCGTAATCCCCCTTTTGAATTTTTTACCCTCTTTATTGTATTTTATCCCCTCTTTACTATGTCTTACACTCTCTTGTGTGTCTCTTTCTTCCCCCTAGGGGCTGAGAGGGGTGGACAGGGGCAGTGGTGGGGGGAAAATCAGGTTACATGGGCTGAGAGAGGGGACAGGGGCTGTGGTGAAGGACGCAGGCCATGAGAAGGGGTGGCACAGGGGCTGTAGGAGGAGGGAGGGGGAGAAAAGCTGGAAAGGGGGAGGGCAGGAGCTGGAAAGGGGGGGGGTCGGAGAGGAGCTGGAAAGGGGGGCCACCGGGGGGAGCAGGTACTGGAGGGGGGGGGGGCAGGAGCTGGAGATACTTCAATTGCTGCTTTGTGATAACTGCAGGCTGCAGGGAGACAGGTAATTTGAGTTCCCAGGCAGAGGCAGGGGATTCTGATTTTTTGCACCCCTGCTCTGGTGCCGTAAGGACGCGCCGGCCCTGCTCATGTACAAACCTTATGGAACACTCCGATTGTATTTTTTCTTTTTGAGAATTCAATAGATATACTTCAAATGAAATCATGCATGCATTTATTGCTGCATTTTTATTTACTGGGACATATTTAAAACTATCTTGCAGCCTTTGCAATCCAACCACTTTTTCCTAGCACAGACTTTCTGTGGCTGTCCAATCACAGACGTCCCAATGCAGCTCAATGAGAAGTCTTTGCGAGGCAGGTGATCTGAGCAATTGCTGCCTCTTGAGTTTAGCTTCACCGAACTAAACTACCAGGAAGTAACAGAACCGGTTATATGTTTGACAGCCGTTGTATGTAACAAAGTTAATTTCTAAAATTGTCAATTTCTTTTGAAATCTTCACTCATTGTAAAATAAAAAGAAGGACACACTCTTCACACATAAAGCATTTCAGCAAGGTAAAGTGCTGTAGGTGCCTGGAGTGAACCTAGCCAGAATTGCAAAAATAATCATCATTCACATCAGAATTTTCACTCTCCCAAGTGATCATTAATGGGGCTTTGCCTAGGACTACTCTATGTAATAACTTACAACATCACTGACCCCATTCAGATATCTCATTTTTCTCGGTCATTCTAAGTCTTCTGTAATGGACATTTAAAATCATTGACCAAGCTAGGTGTCGGTAATAGTTTGCCCATTACTGAGCTAAGCCCAGCTCTGTGGTAGTGGAGATGGGGAGTGGCACCCAGCAGACAAACTGTTTGACTCTTTGTAATGGGGGAGCACCTGTGCCCTCCTGGTACCATCACTGATAGTAGTGTACCATAACTGCTGTAGTGGTTATGGTGCACGGCGTGTTCCTTTAATCCCCCCTTCTGTATAATGTCTTCAATCTACAATAAATTAAAATGTCGATTTTACATTCATGTTGATCAAGAACCTCATCACGTTTCTGTTCAAATTAATGTAATTTTTTTTATTGTCTTACTCATTGTGAACCTGTAAAGCTCTGTAGTATTGTATCTCATTCCTTCAGCCTAACCTGTAGGTTGCATTGATTGGAAGCAGACAAGATCATTCTGTTGGTCTGTTGGCAGTGATTCCAACCCATTCCTCCAGGCACACCAACATTTTACAATTTAGAATCTCTTGACCACTCTCCCATCATCCTCTCTCTTCTTGCTGTTAGCTGAGAGAGTGAGTTCAGGTCAATATGGATAAAATTTCCAGTCTGACCGGGGCCCTGATTAGAGATGCCAATTAGATGGCCCTAAAAGTGGAGACCACCCCCAGTTTGTGAGTCCTGGTGTGGCAAGGTCAGCTGCACTGCTAATAGTTTCAACGCTGGCTTGGGAACAACTATTCTAATGTGTAAAAGTTTAACTCCAGCTGAATTTTATACTTTTTCTTTCCATAATTTAAATGTCTTAATGTGTATATTTTTCCAGGTTCACACACTATTTGTCGCACAAATAACTTGCAAAAACAATTTAAAAGTTTCATGGAATGCAGCGCCGGCCAACTGCTCCCCAATGATGTCCACTCCTCCATTGTCAGGCTGCGCCATGCCCTTCCAAGTCACGGTTCAATCAAATGCTTCTCATAGAAAAGTATTGATGGACCTTTTGCACATGTGTGGTGAATGCCATGAATGCACCAATCAGGTCCTTCTGAATTTTCGCACAGGACTCACATTAGCCATGCACCTGTACCAGACTAGTGTTATACCAGAGGGAGCAGTAGGGCTAGTAGTACAGCTTTCTAGTCCTAGCACTATAGAATCCTTTAAATATTATTTTTCTCTGTCTACCAAATTCAAAGTGAATTCAAAGTGAATTTAAAGTAAAGTTAAATCTCAAGGTCCGAGTTGTAAAACTTCACTAAGTCAGCTATGCTT